TGAGAGCTTCGGTAGTTGGTAGTTTATAACTAGACTCTGCGCGCAGGGTAAGCACCAATACACCTACTACATATCGACCATAGTCTTGTACCAAACTCTGAACTAGAATAACTCTTCAAGAAGTGAAGGAAAACTTATGCCAGTAACCTAATATCCCAGTCCAATATGCCCCAACCATGGGCCTACCTCAAGGCCCCAACATTTATTGATATTGACAGAACAGTGACACTACTTGCAGTCATATGGAATCATGTCTGGAGCAGTAATCACATCAATTTAGAGAAATTATCCCTCAATTTACAACCAGTTACCAGTAATTATGATAGCGTTGCTCAATTTGTTGGCACTTGATACCTGTTATTACATGTAAACAAAAATGTTTAATATCAAATTCAATTTACTAATTAATTGAAATATTCTTACCTTTTAAATGTTCAAATTATCCAGAATTTTGGGAATTTATGGTAAACTATTTTGGCTTGACCTGGTCAGAGACTTCTGTTCTGTATGTCCCTGATGCCAAATTGAGATAGAATGAAACCAAGGCACTTAACTTCAAAAGATTTGATCAAATCTAAATTATGGATTAATTAATATCAAATCCTGATCAAAGAACCTCACATATGATCCTTTTGTATTCTGAGTACCTCCTAGTAGATATCACTAAACTTTCATAATGATCATTTAATCACATGTAAATTCCTATCAGAAACATAGTGCAGGTTCTTATATGTGTTAAGATGTACTAATTAAGGTGTTATTATGTAAGATTGGATATGAGATTAATGTAACAAATATGAAATATTCATAAACAATTAGGAATATTAATTATTATTATCATAATATCTAATTGTTCATTGTAAATACATTTACACCCCCCCCCCATAAACTAGATTAAGAATATGTACCTATCGTTGTCATTGGACCAGAAAATATGGCATGCAATATTACAGACCTATTGGAATTCATAAAACTATCATGCAGACATGCACTTTCAATGATTTATGGGTATTCTTATCAATTTAAGTACTGTTCTTGGCCTTTCCTAAAAAAACACACAATCACATTAGTCGTGAAAAACATATCATTTTTCCTTTCTCAACTCTAAAACTTGTTTTACAATTCTTTATGCATATTTTGTGAAAATATCGAATATCTTGAATTTCTTCATAAATTACCCCAGGTCATTATAACCTGCATATCCAAATTATTTATGAGAATCACATATTTTCATGTTTTAGTATCAGATACATTGAACCAAATCTAAATTGAACACAGATGTATTTTTCCAAAAATCATTCCAGTTTCTGTAAACGATAACTCACTTTGATGTATGTGTAATGCGGTATCACAGCGGTGTCACGGTTGAAAAATATTCCCCACCTTCATTCTCCGGATTGCCAGACAGATTCAGTCCAAAAATGACTGACTTATTCATTTCTGAAATTCTGATACATTTTACAAGTCAGGCCCGTAGCCAGGATTTGCCAAGGGGGTTCAAGAATTTCCAGGGGTGGTTCACATTTGACAATTTCGGCCCAAATATGGCTAAAATCGCTTGAGAAGTGCTCAAAATGGTGAAAACTGCATGATTTTGAAAGACTTTTTGGCCAGGGAGGGGAGTTCGCCCGAACCCTGGGAACCCTCCCCCTGACTACGGGCCTGAAAGTATACGATGGTCTGTTTGTGACTCAGTGGATCGGAGACCATAAGGTTTACTAAATCAAAAATGTTACCTCCTAAAGGAGAATCCAAAGAGAGAAGGAGAAGCCTACAATGAACTCCTCCATAACATCATACCATACCAACCTTTACCATATCATACCATACTTTACCATATCATATCATACCATAGTTTACCATATATTACATTATACCACAAAAAGAATCGGTCATCGGACAACACATTAAAATAGCCAAAATAAAAGTATGACTATGAGAAAATATTATGAAATACCACACCAATGTTATTCTCTATTGAAACCATAACATCATGCCACAACGGAAGTTCATGCCCACTCACTCATGGTCATGAGACTGCACAAAATATAGCCAAGAACGAGTCGACTTTAGACAATATAAATAAGAAAACTCTTATCTAGGATGATAGCAAAGCACACCATACTAAATATCATATCAAAAAAGCATCAAGCGTAGAACATAACATTTTGAGATAGTAGAGATACTTGAAGATTTGAGAATCTAATACTGATACATCTGTGAATATGATGACAGATTCTATCCAAGTTCTCAATTTGGTATCACAAAATACATCACATACCATTCTCAAACTGCATGGATTACATCGCCCGAAACCAAACACGTCATACTCACTTTCCAGTTCTCCTTTGAAATCCAAGATGAAGAACTTAAAAAAGTCAGAGTACTTGAAGAAACAAGGATATGGTATTTATTTAGTGAGATAACTGTTATCTGTGTTCATAGGATGACTTGTTGAGTGAGTGGGTGATTTTACTCATACATCACTTTCATACAGAGACTACACAGACTAAAAAGTAATATGGTTACCTATAGAGGTTCAAAACACTCTAAGAAGAGGTCTCTGACATTTAATCCATCGAGATAAACCACCCGCCTTTGTCTTGACTATTCCAATCATTCGCAAACGATATATCTGGTACATAGTAAACAAGAATGTTTGCATTAGGTCTCTTGATCCCACCCCCACCCCTCATCTTGTTCTCTTATTGTCATGAGCTAATATGGGGAAGGGTCAAAACGGCTTGAAACAAAACTAGAGGTATTCATTATACTAATCTGTCTTCATCTTTCCAGTATACGCTCATGAACCATAAAATCCACAAAATGCATCATCAATAATCCTTTAGAGATTACGCAGATTAAAATAGTCCAGAATATCAGAGCACTTTGGATTAAGTATGAAGTGATGAAAATCCACCAGCAGAGAGCATTAACATCTGAGAACCTAGAAACACTTGAAGATGCAAAGGCTCTGGTTTTCATCTAACTAATTCTATGTCAATATAATCTGTAAAAGGCTAATAACCTCGATGAAGCACATCTATAATTTATATTCATATGATGAAAAGAATAAATGATTCTATTCATTTATATGCCTAAGCCTCAGTCAAATATTGGATGCTACATAACATACCTCAAAAAGAGAACCTCAAACACTTAAAGATGCAAGTCTCTTGTATTCACTTTCCTAATTGTTATCTCCTCTAATGAGCCAGCATATTATCCTACTTGGAAACCACTCGGCTAGAATGTCCTTATGTAATAACAAATCTGCTACTTAGATGCCAAAGATACCAAGAGTCTTGGGCCTGTTGTGCTGACACATCTCAAATTCCATCTGATCCTCATCTCACTTTGTTTCATTAGAGGTATGCTTGATAGGAAATGAGATGTCACTTTTTAATATGATGCCATCAGTGACTGTTTTCAGTAGTTTGATTTTGCATCTTTAAAAGGGAGTTTCATCTACCTTATGTGCTAGAGTCTGATATTCAGGGTAGTCTCCAGTCTGTGCATTCGTCATTATCCAGAATTTAGATAAACTCCATGTCTTACATGTCCCTTTGTGTTAACCAACTCAGCTTTCATCCATCCCCATTTGGCCTTCTTGCCTTCTTTCAGTAATTTTTCTAACACACTTACAAATAGTACCAAGAGGGACTACCAAGGTCAGAGCCTACCATAATGTAAATTAATTAGATGAAGCTCTTTTTAAAGAATAAAATTAAACTATTGAAAAAGGTATTCAGATTTACTGACACACATCTACTGACTCCTCACCTGTGTCCTGCATTCCCTGCTGACTCTATTCTTTCAACTCTTTTTTATATTTCACATCATGGCCACCATGAAATCGTAGACTTGTCAAGACTGTGATAAAGTTATTTTCAAGAGATCACCTGCTTGTCTCAGAGAGGTGAACAAGTTATCTTTACAAGTCTCAAATATATCCCAGAACTCGCAATTAAAATGACACAAGGTCATGTTTTAAAATCAAAAATAGAGTGGAAATCAGGGAAATCAGTAAGGAATAAAGTAGACAGGCATGTAATAGACACTCTAAATTGTATAGAAATGAAAGAAAATTTGGTAGTTCAATCAAATTTTAAAGAGAAATGACACTAAATGAGAATGAGCAGACGGACATTTTGGGTTCACCATCCCTGGTGCTTAAATGTTACAAATACTCCCAATAAAACACCCATCAACCGACAAAAATGCCATCAACATATACCTCTAAGAGCAACAGAGATAAGACCAAGAAATTTGAAACCAGTATATTTTGGTTTATTTAACAATCTTACACCAAGCAAATCTTGATTATCTCCCATATATTCTGATGACTTATCCTTCCAAAAATGTTTCCAAATTTTGGGTGTCCAAAAACCAGATTTAATCCTTTTATTTTCCCTTTGCATTTTACATAAAAAACTACTAAACTAAGTACATCATGGCATGGCACCATTTTTCTGTACTTTTTATGATGAATTTTAAGAGAATTATCTTAACAGTATCTCAGTTTCTGACACTCCCTATCAAATAGTCCCCGAGAAATATGACAACCGTTGCATTGCAATTTCTTCATTTTCTCTCATATTTTCAATATAAATCTACTTTTTCATTCTTAATATACAATTTAGACTCAAAATGTTCTATTTACTATTTCATTCTGTCTTGCCTCATTTACCTGCAACTCATAATATGTTACATCTAAAGATACCAGCCATGACATTTTACCCCTAAAATGAGGCAAGAAATCTGATTCTGAATCCACAGAAATCCCTACCCTGCTGATACTAAAGCATCAAATGTCAAAATATATCTGGGAAAAAATGAACGACCAGAAATGATGATGTCTAAGGGTGGTCCATCACGTCAAAAACTCTAAAAAAATAGTCATCCTTTTGTTGGTGATTTTGACAAATAGGGTTCAGGATTGACCTTCGACCTGAAACTGATGATTAAAAGGAGATTAAATAACCTTGAAGCAAACTTACCTTAGTTGCGGTTCTAAGATTTCTGGTTACTGTCTTCATTTAGTTATTATTTAGTTGAGGTTCACTCTGAAAATATATATAAAGAGACATTACTCATACTGTATAAAAACTGCAAGTGGTTGAATGATAGAAATTTATTGTTGATACTGGAATGATTCTCCTTACATAATTTGCAGATAATCCTGAAAATGGGACCATATAGAAGGCCTGTTTTCCATGACCACACTCTGATACACATAGCATCTTTCTGATTCACCTGAAGCATCTCAGGGCTGAGAAAAAATGGCCCAACAACAAGTATTTACAATGAGAGAGTTTACATAAAATAATTCATTGAAGGAAATGTAGCTGCCATATAAATTGATGCATCTGTTTCCATTGATTTTCATTTAGTTTAACTCACATTTAGATTCACTCTATCTGAGAGCTTTCAGTAAATAGCACACTTTTCCAATTGCATTAAGCCTAATTGCCCTTCTTGAAGATGTAAATAATAGAGCCCCATAATATAAACACGAAGAACAATTAATCTCAATATTTATACAAATCTCCAAGAACTTCAACCTTGATTGATCCAAAGGTGTTAAGTAAAACATACAGTCTAATTGACAGATTCAAGAAATAGCTAATTTTGCAGCTAATAATAAGTCTAACAGTCTCTGACCAACCCCCTCCCCCATGCACATACCCCCCCCCCTTATATTGTGTAAACAAGGTATGTATGGTATAAACATTGTTTGACTAGAAGTGTTTAATTTCAAGAACACAGGTGTTTAATTTTAAGAGGTGTTTAAACAACACAGGTGTTCAGCGTAAAGAGGAGTAACTGATATCTTTATCTTCCATTAATTCTAATTGAATATGCTTCCTCCGTTCTGACAGAAAGACCTTAAAAATAGGATAAATTGAATTGAAATTAATCCATTCCATATACATCATGTCAGAAATATCCTAAAAACTAATTAACTTTACAGATCTCATTTCCTTTAATATGGTAGTTATGTAATGAGAAGTTACGGAATATGGTATTTATCTTTATTAAATGATATATCAATTACAATCAAATATACTAAGAAAAACACATATTCAAACCCAGTAATGCTTGGGTCACATTTGCTCCAATCCATCGGCCGGAGCCTGGTCGATTGAGTATTTTGTTCAGTATTGTATTTAATTTTGAAAAAAATACTCAATCGCCCAGGCGCCATAGTGAAAATCGGAGAAAATGTGACCCAGGCATAAGGAACAGAGGCCTCATCAAGTGAGAAACATTGGTGGGATTACATATTGTTAATTAAATTCAATTGAGGTAATCTGTTCTATAAAGCAGATATGGCAGATATATAAATCTTCAACATAATTAGGCAAAAATGACCTAAAAAACTGTTAAAGCATTCAAACTATATATAGGAAAACCAGAAAAGGTAAATTGTACATGGTTCTAAAACTACGAGCGTATATCAGGCCCGTAGAAAACCATGCAGTTTTTCACCATTCTGAGCACTTTTTATTTAAGTGATTTCGGCCATTTTTGGACCAAAATCGTCACAAGTAAACCCCCCCTGGATTTTTCAAAAAGTGAACCCCCCTTGGCAAATCCTGGCTACGGCCCTGTATATTCCTTTTAGTCATAAAATTGAAACCCTGATACCAAGACCTTGTTAGTATCTAGTCAATATAGCTCTTTTCTGAAGAGGCAAATCGGAATATTGAAAAGGGTAAAGAATATTGACCAAATCAAGATGATCATGTCACACTTCTCTCTGAATAACCTACACAGATTGAAGTGGTCTCCATATCAAGCTAAATTCAGATGGAGAATTAATTTTCTAAATACTTAATTTTTGCTCATACATCATCAATATTTTAACATAATCAGGCCCGTAGCCAGGATTTGCCAAGGGAGGGTTTACTTTTTGAAAAATTCCAAGGGGGGGTTCACTTGTGACAAGTTTGATCCACCAGGGGGGGTTCACTTGTGACAAGTTTGGTCCAAAAATGGCCAAAATCACTTAAAAAGTGCTCAGATTGGTGAATGAAAAACTGCATGATTTTGAAAGAATTTTTGCCCCCCCCCCTGGCTATGGACCAGGAAATATATAGAGGTTATTTAATGGGAGGGATGGAATATGGATTTTATTCCGAGGGAAAATATGATATTGGCCAAGAAAAATATCATATTGACCGAGGGCGATAGCCCGAGTGTCAATATGATATTTTCTGAGGCCAATATCATATTTTCTCAAGGAATAAATCCATATTCCATCACGACCATCAATAACCTATTTATTTCATAATATTTTTTTTTCAATTTTTGTATGTCATCATCCAATGATTGTGACATAAAATTATACAATTTATCATATAACATTTTCAACTTTTATTATCAAGTTAAAATTACCGGGAATATTTCTGATACGGGATCTGATACGGGATTTTTGCTGATACGGGATCCAATACGGGATCTGATACGGGATTTTAGCTGATACGGGATCTGATACGGGATTTTTCAAATAACACTTTTATTCCCTGTTATTTTCCCAGGGAAAACATGTTATTATGGAATAAAACTTTTTATTAATAGCGTGCACATGAATTGGTTTGTTATGTAATGAATGAAACTCAAGGATTTTGGTGTAATACTTAATTTTTGAATGTCTCAAAATAGCATCTGCTCTGTACAGATCTATGGCGGATCCAGGGGGGGGGGCCCATGGGGCCCGCCCCCCCCCCCCCCCCTAAGATTGGCCCAGAAAAAAAAAGTTGGGCCCAAAAATATTTTAGGCCAAAAAAGGCCTAAAGGCCCCAAAAAGTGGGCCTTTTGGTCATTATTGGGACTTCTAAGGCCTTATTTTTTTAATTTTAGGCCAAATTTTGAAGAAAATGGGCCTCAAATTTTCAAAATTTGGGCCCACTTTTCGGTTTTAGGGGCCCAAAATTTTTTCCCGCCCAAGCGCGGATGTTTTTTCTATGACCTCAAATTTGGGCCCCCTCTTGTTGGTTCCTGGATCCGCCACTGCAGATCATTATGCTTCTAGCTCAGAGTCTAGTTATAATTTATAGATGAAGCTATTGACAAGGGTAGATCCAGGGAAAGGAGAGCATCAAATATCCTCAAATTAGAATCATTTTCCTGCCAATCAATCAAACATTATAATGATGATAATCCAGCACAAATCAAACATTTAATCTACATCAAACTAAACAATCCTACAAATTAATTAATTCTAGAGCAATTTAATCAAGCTGAGCGATAGCAAAGGTCATGGAATTGAAATTTATATACATCCGATTGTTGATATGTTCAATAAAGGTAATTATATTTATTATGATGAGGTTGACAGTCACATGGTAGAAACGCTTTGAAGGATGGATCACGATTGATGTCTCCATTATTTTTGGAGATGCTGTTCCATTGGTGAATCTGTTATTTGTTTTATCCAATGATATAAAATAGATCATTTGATTTCTCTATCTTTTAAGATGCTGCTGTTGAGTTCAGTTCACCATATCGATACCTATCCTTTTAATGTATATTCATCTATTCTGTTATTTCTGTTTTATCAGATGATATAAAATACCTTGATAGACCACAATTCATTTGTCTATTTTTTTGAGATGCCGTTTCTGAAGGATGTGAATTTCATCAAACTTAAGTCAAACCTGTATATCTAAACACTTGTCTTAACCGAGCATGTCAATATGAGCACTTTTGGTCACGTTTTTGAATCTGCCATAGACTTCCATGTTAAAAACCTTCAAACTATGAACACCTCCTAATCCAAACACCTTTTCCTTACATACTATTCAGTATTGTAGTACTATTCAATGGGTTTTACTGGACTTACATTTTTACATTATATAATAGTTATCAACAGACAGGAATAGTTCATGATAATTCTGCTTTTATCTAAATTGAATTTATTCAGCTTAACAAATATTATTAATTAATGTCGCGGTGACCTTCAGCTTGATACTTATTATAATACTGGATGGGAAATATTACCATCACTTAACTATTATAACCCGATGGAGATATATTCTATGTCACGCTGGCCTTGTATTGTAATGAAATTAGTTGCAGTTGTTTGATTATTTCATTATATGGTAGTCCTGCATCCCATGTAGTCATGCCAGGTCTGTAGCCAGGATTTGCCAAGGGGGGTTCATTTTTCAAAAATTTCCAGGGGGGGTTCACATTTGACAATTTTGGTCCAAATATGGCTAAAATCACTTGAGAAGTGCTCAAAATGGTGAAAAACGGCATGATTTTGTAAGAATTTTTGGCCAGGGGGGGTTCGCCCGAACCCTGCGAACCCCCTAGTGGCTACGGGCCTGCATGCAACAAGACACTACCCTGCATGTATCCCCACCTCATTTTTTCCTCACTATCAGTTCTTTACAAACCCAGGGAGTGCTCAGATAGATACGAGCTTATTCATATAGGACAGCTCATTTATAAGCTTTTCAAAATCCTAAATGGCTTTTATGGTTTATATGCAGGACTGAACTTAGAACCATTGTTAGCCTTCTGTTGGTTCCTTTCTACTATTTTGACTGTTTGATTTGCTGATCAGTTTAACATAATATTCAAATTGTTTGTTCTTGATAATAGTTCATTTAATTTAATGCTAGAGTTTCATTATGAGAAATCATGGCCTTCTATCCTTTCTAGTACGGTATATCGATTGTCTGAAAACAGAAAGTCGTAATGAGTATCTTTATACCTGACTTTTGAAACAAGAGAATTGTAGTAGTATCACTCAATGACAAAAAAACATAAGGTACTTGTAGTTGCTTGTTACACCTCTAATCTGTAGAGAAATCTGTCACAATCGATAAAATGAATATTATCAACTTACGAAGACGTAAACAGGAAGTTTGGAACAGCAATGTCGATAGATACTTTCTTCAGGAAACAACCAGTACTCCTGCAGCCAAAATATATTTGGATCAAATTCCATTGAGTTACTTTTACAGTAAAACTTTTGTAGAACCCAAATTCTGATATCATTTGTGGCTAAAACAAATCATGAAATTCACAATTTGCAATATTACATAAAATCAATAATTTGCTTCAACATGCTGGAAGATTTCTAACAAGATAATATCACCTAGCAACAGTTGTTGCATTTTTCACATTTGAAAATGCAAAATAGAGAATAAAATAATGGTATCAGCAAGGCCAGGGTTTTAATTACCATACATGTACAGTCAGTTGTATATGAAAATAAGTAAACATTCACACTTATGATGCTAGCTATGACCATTCTTACTGACACATTCCTGTCACCTAAACCAATCACTTCTGATGTTTTATTGTATGCAATGAAAGATCCCAACATTATGCCAAAAATCAGATCAATTAAAAAGAGTCACATCTTATTGGTCTGATCATACTGGTATTTCTAAGTACGTTCCAGCATCAAATTGTAATAAATTAAAATCACATATTGTAATATCTGATCCAATATTAAGTTTTATACTCAAACCTGCATCTGAATCACAGTTATATTGAATTTCATAAACACCACCTTTCCATTATACAGAACTGTATGTATAGTATGATTATAGATTATCGTTACTTTGTATGATATATAAGTTTGATGGCAAAAATGTACCTTCACAGTCTTCTGTATAGCTACAAGAAATGGCATATATTTATGCTTACCTACCCCTTTAAGAAGACTTATATTTGCGGCTGATTAACAGTCTGTATAATCTTTCTGTATTATGACTAGCAGAGATTTCATCACTTTAACAATTCAGAAAAATATATTTTTGAAATCTTTCTTTCGACATTTTTGAATTTTCAATATTTTGAATCGATTCTAAATTCAAGTTCGTCATATGACACATCTCTTCATAATCTTTAAAACAACATTTTGATATTCTTATAACACTGTACCTTACGACGTCCTATGCCTGTTGACAATAACAGTTCCTCACATTCTGTTCTGTTCAACTCTATCTTCTATTCAAATCATACATCTGTATCTCTCTTGCCGATATACAATCCTAATTTTAGTGTTTCATGTTTACCTGTGATCTCTCAAGCAATTACCGTGGTTACCAATGTTGTATTCTGTCCCCTGGGATTTTTAAAAACATGGGTGTTTCTTCTGTTTTGATGAATCATCACATGATAGAATCACGTTATTTTTATACCATTCCAAGATCTGTGCTGTTCCTTCCCTGTCTATAGCATTTTAAATCCATTGTTTAAGGTGACTATTGACCTCGTATTAAGGTTTTATGGTTTATTTATTTACTCGTAAACGGTTTTCTACCTGCCATTTTGAATAACGATAATTTGATGATATCTACGTACTGTGACTTTGTAAGATAGAAAATATCACCTGTGTGATGTTGCTGCAGCTACATTTCCAATATCTTAGTCTACATCACAGGAATCTGTGTAGCACCTGAGTAATCATTATCAATCAATACCTGTGTCTGTGGAATAGGCTTCTACTGCAAGAACCAATGCCTTTCATTTAACCCTTGCAAAAAATCAAACAGTTTGATGATCTTTATTAGAAAATGAAGTTAATTTATTAATATATACACTTGGAAATATATGTGCATAACTAAACTAACATACAGTTTCTTGCCTTTATGAAATTATCTAAATATCAGATAAGTATTTTATGAAATTCAAAATATAACGATGACATATTTTGACAGACTATAATGGTCTCAGTGGTAGTATATGACATAAATGATCGAAACACATTATATTAGACTTGAATGAACGAGGAACAGAGGATCAGCCTTGATTATCCAACCCTCCCCAGGGGTGGAAAAATGTGTGTGGGGGCCAAGGAGAGGTATTGTTAAATCGAAGAAAAACATTTTTATTTCACATTATATACTGCACAGGCTTCATTGTCCAAGGTATTGATATAAAAATATTGATCTAAATTATTTGAATAACCATGAAAAGACCTTTCCCATAATTTCCTCATTAGTAGAGCAGTTCCCCTTGATACAACTTCACAGATTTGATCTTTTTCATGAACTTTGACCGTTAAAATCATTAATCAATCATGTTTATGTCAAATGACAACAATCTATTTCTTGGTAACTTTTTGTAATTTTCAAGAATGACATTCTGAGAGAGAAAATATGATATTATTTTTGCAAGAGCTTTTCACCAACTGTCAGGTGTTTTGTGTGGCAGTGAATTGAACAAATTGGTACAAAGCATTTTCAACAAATAGAAAAGAACAAACAACAAATTGCTTCCTTTCTTGTGACCTCCCCCACTCACCCTTTATACTTCATAATCACCTCCTAAAGTAAATAGAGGGAGGGGGATCCTGAGACTTGGTATAGGAAAAATCACCTTTCATCAATTACCTTTCATCTGAGCTAATTCAAGTTTCATATAAATCCAAAAAATAATGATATCATCTTTTTTTCCAAACTGACTCCGCAATTCAACTCATTTGCCTATATTGTAACTTGAAACTCTCCTTTTTATTGAATTCATCGTCCTGAAGATTCTGACATTTTCTCTGACATTTTTCTTGTTCAAATCATCAGTTATAAAGTAAGATTTTGAACTAAACCTCCAATATTCTTAATTATCCTGTATTTACCATTAAACTGGCACTCTTATCTCTAAAAGAACACTTTACACTCCAATCTGTCAAAAATTACAACACAATCAATCTCAGGTACCCTCCAAATTGAGTAACTTCTCCAATCTAAGGTACTCAGAGGAGTTTGTTGAATCCCATGATGCATCACTGTATCACATGACTAATTCTAGCCAATGAGATATGAATAGACGCTTATTTGGAGTTACTTTTCAGTCATTCTAATTCCATTCTATTTTCTCTCTAAATAATTTTCTAATTTTCCTACAGAATGTTATCAAATACTTGATTTAATTCCATTCATAGAAGGTACTTCAAATTTCTCGCTTCATTTTACTTTTCAAACTGTGACCCCCCCCCCCTCCCCCACCCCTAACCTTGACCTTTTACTGTAATTAAACCTTCAAAGTCCTGGTCTCTATTCTGGTGGTCTAAACACTGATATAAACCATTGAAGGTGAGCTTGAGCTCCCTGATAAGTTACCCTGCGTGCAGAGTCTAGTTAAACTACACTCTGCCTAGTAGAGACCATATAACAGTTTAGTAGCCCCGCCCCCACGACAGGTACTGGTGACAGTTTCGGTATATCACTTTTGACCTACGCGCTAATCAGCGAGCTTGAAGAAACATATGCCAAATGCGTCCTAATTAAATATGCGCATGTCATTGGTCAATTCCGGGCCCAACGATGACGTCAGAAGGAATGACCATATAAAGAACGTCGGTCAAATTTGGCCGACGAACACTGATTGGCGCGGTCAGTTCACAGGTTTATTTTAGTTTGAAAGAGTGAAGACGAAGCTCTCTTTTAAGAAGTGAAGTCAAACGAATGCAAAGGGTACTGATAAGTTGGAATAAGCTCATTTTTAACTCCTAATCTACAAAACTCATGTGTTCAATTTGGCGAAATACAAACCAGCAAGATTCAACAATAAAAAATCATAATTTTTTTTTATTTTTTCAGATAATTAAATAAGGCATGTGTAAGATTTGATATTTTATTGCAGTTTTCTCATATTCATGGAATCATTTGAAATTTTTTACTTGATGAATTCATTTTGTAAGAGTTTATCCTATGCAGCTAGGTAGCCAGGTAACAAAGTAGAATTATCTACAAGTAGAGGGCTATAAAATTGTCAATTGATGAGTGAAATTTAAAGGTTCCTATATATTATGCTATTATGTTAGACATAGTTGTTAGGGAGGTCATGATGGCCACATTGCAAAATTGAATGGAAAAGAGAGAAATGTGAAAGGAAAGATGTTGAAATCAGTGTAAAATTGGAATTATTTCATCCATTAAGTTCTCATTTGATCAAAATATCTGATTTTTCAATTTTAAAAGATTATGTGATCTACAATACATTGGCTTAACAGGACCTTTCCCATGTGATGTTACATCTCATGAAAGAGGCATAGAAAAAGCAAGGAATCTGCATGGTCTGAGAAAGATATTGGTTACATATAAGACTATAATAAAGATAAAAATCCAATTACATCTTCAAGTATTGTAATAATGAACTTCTGCCAGAACCCAGAGATAACCTCAAGTGCTTGAAATGATACACCCGGCTGACAAAATGCCACAATGGTCATGTTTTAATTTTTAAAATTAATCCCAAAAGAGTGGAATAAGCAAGAAATAAAACATATGGGAATAAAGTACACACTCTAAATTGTATAGAAATGCAAAAATATCAGACACTTCATTCAAATTTTAGAGAGAAATTGAGTAAAATAAGTATGAGCAGACGTGAAATATTTTTGGCGGTTATAATGATAATAGTCCCCTCTCTACAACAGGTCAACAGCTACTCAAGTCAACATCAAGTGAGCAATAATACATTCCAAAAGTTAGATGCACTATATCTTTTTAGATATTTTCCATGGTTTCTGAACATTATATTCAATCATGAGCATTTCTTTTGAAAGTATATGTACACCAATAATCAACATCATCCCATTGTCTCCTGAAGGAGATGTCAGCCTCTAAAATTTACAAATTGGTTGATGCAGTTATCTCTCAACAAAATATGTCAATGCAAAGTAATTGTTTGACTCCAATATGATTGCAATAAGGAAAATCTCCCGACTATTTTATGACAACCAACCAGTCTAAGGTTTTAAGAAAGTTACATTGATTAATGAAATCAAATAATCAAATATTCTTCAAATTATTACCAAAAGCATGCAAGACAGTTATTTTCTAAAATTTTCCATTTACCTGGCTACTAAAAAATAGCCAGTCATCAATCTACCTCTCCAACCATCTCTCAATGTAAATACCCCTCCTGTGAATATAAACACTCATATATGAACACTTAATGTAATGTGAACACTTTTCAGAAAAATAGCAATAAGACAAGCAAAATGCTGAAAACTATGCAGAAAATATGGAATAAGCTTTTTTGGAATAACAAACCTATTTCAGAAAAAATATTTTGTTGATTTTTAGCAAGGTCACGTACATTAAGTTTTCATGTTAGGCAGAAAGGACAATTTAGAATAAAGTATCATGCGTTTCATTGGTGAATTATTTACTGTTATTTCACAGATACATGCCATCTATCCAGGCCCCAATGGGGGACCATAGAATAAATGTCACGGTAGTTATATTTTCAATTGCAAAAACAGAGAAAAAGAGTGAAATCAGCAAGAAATAAAGTAAACAGATTTGCAGTCAACACTCTAAATTGTATAGAAATCAAAGGAAAATCAAACATTTTATTCAACTTATCAAGAAATGCTATGAAATTAGAATGAACGAATGACATTTCAAGCATAGGCCAGACCATAACAATATTGTTATCATTTTTACTGTCAAAATTTATTATCATATTTTTCTTGATATGAATTATCATATTCACCAGTCATGAAATGCAACAATTATTAGATAATCAAAAGTGGATGCACTAAGTTATAATACTGACCAGGGGCTTATAGATATCCCCAATATACTAACTGACATAATACAAAACATGGACAAACACAGCTTAAGGCAGTTCCACACTTTAAGAAAAAAAGTTTAAAAATTTTTATTCAAAAGTTATTTCAAATTAATTTGAACAAAATATCTTGATTTTTAACGTCATGTATATCTCTTGAAGTCTCTCATATTGAGATATTTCAGAAAGAAATCATCCCAATTGAAAAATAAAACTAATTACCAACTTATTACCAACTAATTTACAACTAATTATCAACAATTCTGCTGGCAATTGGAATTAAAGTTAAGCGTTAATTAAATCAATGATAATTATGGCCTAATTATCAGTAGCAAGTTCAACGTAAATTAACTTACAATAATGCTGATTTATGATTTTTAGTTGATAATTAAGATATGAAATGTTTGAGGGTGATAGTTAGTGGTAAATTAAAACGTTTTTGTTCTGAAGTAGATTATTGGTTGATAGTTAACATATAGGATGATTATAATGATAATTAGTTGTAAATTAGGCCCATGATTTAGAAATACAAACCCCCTAAATTTAATTTCAAGATGGTGGAAAAAGAAAACATGTGAGAGATATTTCTCTCATAAAATTGAGAATTACAATGTGAATGGTGCGTATACTACCATGAAATTTGGTCAACATTATTATAAGGGTATGTAGAACATGAATACAATGTATGTTAAATCTTATTCACACTTCTGTCTGAAATGTTTATGAATTTGAAAATCTTTTTGAATCAGATCATATAATATTAATCCTAGAATGCAATTTAGGTACTAACATGGGTTACCTATATTTCACAAGTAATCCAAATGTGCTCTTCTAAATAATGATTGTTAGATCAAAGACATTTCAAAACATATTTTTGATTATATCTGTTACGTCCTTATTATGTAACATTATAGTCTAATGTTTGTGTTCTGATTTTAGTTGTTGATGGCAATAATGATGTTTTCACATGCTTTTCATGAATCTTAAAAATTTGCAAAATAGAATAGCTTTAAAAAAGAGGGGGAGAATGTAAATCTGTATTGAGATGACATCGTCGCTGATTGGTTTAGCGAGTCGATCGTTGATTGGTTTAAAACTAGGTCAATTTGAAAACTTTGAAAACCAAGATGGAGGGTACGTTTTCGACAAAAGGAGGTGTGCGAAGGAGGAAATCGTATGTCATCAATTGAATCATGGGGGTTTCCCTCCCCTTGCTGTGAAATTTCAATAGTTCAAGTTCAATGTTGTCTGTTCTGAAAGATCCTAATTAAGATGAATATTCCGTCACAAAATAGTTCAAGATGAAGCAAAAATCTCCGAGTGAAGGGAAACAAAAAAGAAGCAAGTCATTTTTGAGAAGTCACAAATCTGACTTAAACCTAACTTTCAACTAATTATCAATAGTAAGTTAGGTGATAATTAGAGATTAACTTACATCAAACTTACAACTAACTTTCAACTAATTTACGTAAATAGCTCATTTGCATATTGATGGTAGTTAATCGTTAATTAAGTTGCAAATTAAGCGTTAATTAAGTTGATAATTAGCTCATTTGCATGTGAATTTTTACACCTAACTTTCAACTAATTATCAATAGTTAGTTAGGTGATAATTGGAGATGATTTTCCATAGGCTTTTTTCAATTGGGAGACATTTACATGACAAAATGTCACCATTTGGTAAGTTGTTGTGAACAAGAAGCCTTTTGTTAAAGACACAAAATGCTGACCCCTGAACACTGAAAACTGTGAAAATGTCCCTGGTTCTTTGTGAGTGGCATAAAAATACATAACCTGCGTGCAGAGTCTAGTTAGTTAAACTACACTCTGCCTAGTAGAGACCATATTACAGTTTAGTAACCCCGCCCCCACGACGGGTACCGGTGACAGTTTGGGTAATAAATTACTTTTGACCTACGCGTTGACCTTTCTTCCACCAGTCAGCGAGCTTGAAGAAACCTACGCCAAATGCGTTCTATTTAAATATGCGCATGTCATTGGTCAATTCCGGGCTCAACGATGATGTCAGAAGGAATGACCATATATAGAACGTCGGTCAAATTTGGCCGACGAACACTGATTGGCGCGGTGAGTTCACAGGTTTATTTTAGTTTGAAAGAGTGAAGACGAAGCTCTCTTTTAAAAAGTGAAGTCAAACGAATGCAAAGGGTAAAAAATACAATAAAATCCTAGTTTTGCATGAATCATTGAAAGATGCACATCACATTATTCTGTCCTGTAACTTGAGAAGGAAGGATATGCAATAATTAATCACCATATTTGCATTGAAACATATGAAGAACCTTATACTATTGTATGAAACATGAACCTAATTACATGTTGGCTAAAATTTCAAAATCATCCCCACTGGTACGTGATAAAATAGCCCCATGTAAAGACATTTCATTTCCTAATTATATAAATAATATTTCTAATTTCTACATTACAAAACAAAATGATGATAATTAATTTTACAAATTATAGCCTTTTCACATCTTCCCAAAGAGATTATGAGATATCTTATTCCTAATTGGCGATTATAGAATAAAGACAATTAAAGGCTGTGTGTTATTTAATGTATCATATATACAACGAACCATGCTGATTCCTCAACATTATATAATCACTGTCACATTTGTAAGTGAAAATAGAGTGAAAATGGTAGAATTGGGGATGAATAAAGTGAAAAGAAATTTAGTTTTCGCCGAAAATTTTAGGAAAATTCTGATGCCAGAAAATCAGGGAGAAATGCTATAGAATATTATATGACTGTACAGATGAATTTTAAACCTGGGGGACATAATGATTGAAAATATACCTGATGGTACAAATGGTCCAATTGATAATGGCAAATGGATTAACATCTCTAATGTCAATATCACTGGGTATGGAAAACATGGTAAAGTTATTACCAGAGATAATTATATGTGTCTGACCAGAACATCCTCTGACTATTAATTTAAGAGTAAACATAAAGTGCAGCTCCTGGAAAGAGTACCAGCAACTAATAAGGTTCCATGTTTCAACTTGAAAAATGAAAGGGTCAACAAAATCAAAGGGTCAAAATTAATTCTATCAGCTATCTATCACATTATCAGCTCATTGTGGTATACCTCAGTGACAGTGTTTTCTTTGGTATGACCAGCTATACGTACACAAAGATAAGCTCTGATTTATTGAAATTAAGAAACCAATTCAGATAAAAAGGAATATATTGTTGGTGATAATTCTATGATAGTACAGAGATATCTATTCCTACATTATCCAGACATGAAAATGTTAAGGAAGGCAGAAGAGAAAATGTAAGACCTGATTGTGATGTCACAAAGCTGTATTTTCACTTGGTCTACCTTGAGTCCATTTACTTTATTCCTTGCTAAAATCTCACTCTGTTACTATGATATTAAAGCATGATCTTCTCATAATTTAAATACGTAATCATATTCAATTTGTTTTTTACATAGTCTTGCTTAAACACTCTGGCCCGGCCCCCTTATCTACTTCAACAACTACTGTTATTGATGTGGAGAGGGGGGAGATCCAGGGGGCTTGAAGCAAGACTATTTTAATTGGAATCTTGTCAAGCTAAGAGAGTGGGAGGGGGGTGGGGCATCAGGCCCTAAATGCAATGGTCAGACCATGGAAAGCTAACCAGGTAAGGATTTTCGAGCAACTGATGGAAGTCGGGATAATGGGATGGAAACCACTTTCGATATAGTGCAAACTTCTGATGTTTTGTTAAGACTGGATACATGTACTATACATATATATAGTATTTGCTACATTCTTCAAAGCATCATGCACCTTGTCCACTTCTGCTGAGCTAATAATGTCGACCACATAGCCAAATTGACATAACAACTCGACCAACATTTAATTAACAAATTCGGCACGATTCATATTGACACGATTCATGTATCAAACGTACAAGTACTTGAATGTACAGTTTGGCAAATAAGCGAATTGCACAATGTATTAAGTACAAACGATACTTTAAGCCAAATATAATGGTATCTTACGTGAATGTTATAATCCTCTACCCGGATGAAAGTTCATGGATAAAAGCATTAGACATTATATTAATGTTAAAAGTACTTTTGTAATTTCAATTCTATCACTCTCATCGACAGCATCATGTTAATCTTGAGTGCAAAGATAAACATGATTTACTTTTGAAATTTTGAAGATGAGGCTTGTACCATTTTTAATGTCCAGCTTGTACCATTTTGATGGTGAGGCATGTACCATTTTGATAGTGAGGCTTGTATCATTTTGATGGTGAGGCTTGTACCCGGGGGCTTATACCATTTTGATGGTGAGGCTTGTACTATTTTGAAGATGAAGCTTGTACCATTTTGATGGTGAGGCTTGTACCATTTTGATGGTGAGGCTTGTACTATTTTGAAGATGAGGCTTGTACCATTTTAAAGATGAAGCTTGTATCATTTTGATGGTGAGGCTTGTACCATTTCGAAGATGAGGCTTGTACCATTTTGATGGTGAGACTTGTACCATTTTGATGGTGAGACTTGTACCATTTTGATGGTGAGGCTTGTACCATTTTGATGGTGAGGCTTGTTCCATTTTGAATGTCAAGCTTGTACCATTTTGATGGTGAATGCCATGAATTATTTTGAATCACAAAATAACAATGAAGGAACTCTTACCTTGTCAACAACTGAACAATAAGCTCCATTCATATATCCACAATCTGTGCAATATGTGTTATTAAATCAGTTCTAATAGTTCCTGCATGATCTAAAAGTGGTTATTCTTACACATCCACATATCTTCAGCGCCAAAATCATTAATTACTTAACTGTATATAATGTGTTAAACTAACTTTATATCAAAATATTAAACTTATTTGACTGACATGTATAATTCAGAACAAGAAAAACAACTATAATTCTTATATCATAAATAGGTTTGTCCTCTCCTGAGACCCCATAACTGAGCATGCAAGTTAGATCCAATCGAAAAGGCTAACTACATGCAATGTTATGGCATATTAGAAACCTAGATGTCACACACACTACATGTAAAGTCTGACAGTTTGTTTTTAATAATATGAAACACTTGTTAGCCATATCAAAATTGTATAATCGTTATAGTGTCGCCACCAATCAAAAATTCTAACAAGAAAAGAAATGTATTATTTTCTCATGACACTGACCACAAGCCACTAATTGAATGACACAAATTATGCACAATTGGCAGGATCAACATTTTACTACTCAGGCCCATAGCCAGGATTTGCCAAAGGGGGTTCAGTTTTCAAAAATTTCCAGGGGGGTTCACATTTGACAATTTTGGCCCAAAAATATGGCTAAAATCACATGAGAAGTGCTCAAAATGGTGAAAAACTGCATGATTTTGAATGATTTTTTTGCCAATGGGCTTCGTCCAAACCCTGTAAACCCCCCCCCCCTGGCTACGGGCCTGCTACTTTTCCCAAAAATGAACATCTTTGACTTCCAAGGTGGTAAACATAATAAACTTTGAGCAACTAAAACCTTTCGAAGGTGATGAAAAATAAAATTTTCCATCTTTGCATGTGTTTAAAGTATTTGCATAAAAATCAACTGACAATGTCCCTTTTCAGTCCATTTTTACGGGAAAACCAACATGGGTTTTTAAAAGTACATGTACTGACATTTTGCGAAAGGGACATTAAACTGTGAAAAACAATAACCGCACCAGACATCATGATTGCGGAAAAACAATTAATAGCAATTTCTGTCATAACCCAAATATTTGTTGTCATGCCCACATGTAACAATTCAGAGATCATAATGAATAAGAACATAACAGTGAAAGGAGCAATTACGTAAACTGTGATCCAGCCACTTGAGTTGTCATGTCATAAGGTCATGGGTGAAAATGAAAACCTAGTGAAAAAGAAAGGAACCAGGTGGCCATTTCTCGAAACTTATCGTTATTAACGAATCATTAATTGCGAATCATGGAATCGTTTCTATGGCATCGTATCATGATAACGAATAAATCGTTAAAAACCATGACGTCATCGCGAATCGTTAACTTTTGAGAAACAGAAAAATTGTTATTAACAATTGAATTAACGATTCATTAATAACAAAATTTTTGAGAACTGCCCCCAGCAAGGAATAAAACAAGATATCAACATGACATAATGTCACCAAATGTCACTTGAATTACTAAAGTGTAACAATTTGTTACAAATGCCAGTCACAGAATATTAGTGGCTGTAACAATGCACGAATGTGACCACCAAGAACATGTCACAACATCTTGATGTGTTTATTATGTCACCACCAAGATGTTGTGACATGTTCTTGGTGACATAATAAACAGACATACTATAAATTACATAAAAATATAAAATTTCATTTGAATATTGAAAGACAAATGTGAAATAAACATGAGAAAATTGATATTTTGAAACAGGTGATTTACTGACCATATATTGATACAGGTGAGTTAAAGGCTAATGATTTACCTGGACAGTTTATGTAATTAGTAGGTAATTAATGCAATTATCGCTCTAGTGATGCTCCTTTGGAACAAATAGTGACCAATCCAGCCAATAATACCAAAACTAAAATATCCGTCTGCTTGTTCTACAGTACATCGTTACTCTCGAAAATTTAAACTAAAATTATAATGAATTCTCTTATTTTGTTGAATTTCTATATAATAGTGACGATTATTTCCCTGTTTACTTTATTTTTCGTTTTGAATCTTATTTGAGTTTTAAAACATGACCCCATCATAATACACATCTAAGCTAAAAATTCTCTAAAATATATCTCCAATATAACTTTTGGTACCACAAAATTGACAATAAAATCATTGTCAATGATTGATAAGTTACATTTAATCAAAGTTTTTATTTTACATTAACAAGTGTGATGAAACCTACAAGGTAATTAAAATAAAAAAATAAAAATAAAAAAGTACAATGTATATGTACTCAGTTAACTTGCTAATACTATGTGATCCCATTTTGAATTTCTATGGTACAAGAAATTCAAACAATATTAAAGAACCAAAAATAATTTTCATAAACTTACTTTATGGCTGTACTCTGCTATTATCCATGCAACATATACAATTAAATATATCCACATAACCTAACTTTACATGCTTGCCTATACTAGCTAAATCAATATACTCGAACTTTATTTAAAATCAACGTACATGGCACTCTATAACGTTTGGTGACGATTTGATCGTACCTCCTACAAAGCGTGTGTGTAAACATTGGTAGAGCTTGTGGTACAACAAAGATGAGATTTAAACCTTTGAAAACCTGCACAAAGTAACTGACTCTTCCAAACAGACGGCAAAATGAGTCCCAAACTTGAACGTTTTCTGATTTTTCTCGGAATAATTTGAAAGAAGTATATCAGTTTTTGGCATTTCTATACAATTTAGAATATCTACCTTAAGTGTGTCAATTTTTTTCAGGATTAGCCATCAATATTTCATAGTATTTCCCAAAAGAAATATGACCATAAATGATTTTTCTCGAGGGAAATATAGTTCAATCTGGGCTTAGCCAGTTAATCCACTAGCCTGTTACATCAACCGTGGGTCCTAAGTTAGACTGCCTATACTGGCTCTAAGTCCTTGCCCCAATAACATTAGCCTACTATACAAAAGCAAGTCTGAGACATTGTGTTGGTCATGGTTTTAAATTTTGAATTTCGTAAAATTGTGAGGAATCAGCAAGGAATGAATTAAATAGGCATGTAGCTAATACTCCAAATTGTAGAGAAATTCAAGAAAATTTGGCACTTTATTCAATTTATTCAGATATTTCAATGAATGTCCATCATTTTGGATTATTTTTTATAATGTAGTAAAAACTATTAGGATCAAAACACTATGAAATAGACTTATTTAATAATCCAGCCAGGGACTATTTTCTTTTTAAGTGGATTATTTTCTTCAAACAAGAACGCTAATGGGTCGATCGATTTATATCAATACAATTCAAAACAGTAACATTGAGCAAATTATGGCGATAATTTTGATTTCCATTATCTGAATATAGTATCAGACCATGCATAGTAGCATTAAGCCGTATAAATCGCACAAATATATTTTAACATTGTATAACACATATTGTTCAAACTTACTCATATTCTACAGATTAGGGATTACATAAATGACCGTTACTCACAATTCAATTGTCAACTGCCTCGATTTAATAGGAACTGTATTCTAAATTGTATAACAAAAATTAAAGGTCACACAACGGTCTCGCCTTTTAAAAATGGTGGTTGAACCAAGTACAGTTTTATTTTGAAGAAACTGCAACTCAAAAATTAAAAAAATTACCCCTACCCCATAAAGACCATAAATCTTACAATAACATGTCCATTGCTTACGAAGTAAACCAAAAGCAAATACTTATAATCAGTGTAATTCCAAGAGCGTCAACTCCAAAGTTAAGTAAATTAAATCTGGATTAAGAATATGAATTAGCTACAACAACAGTTGAAATGAACCTGACTATTGCCAGCATGTCACATAAATCTGATCAACAATCGGTAAAATCAATATTTGAAAAGTAATATCTTCCCTCCCTCTTGGAGTAAGTTCTTTTGTTGACACTCTATGCATACATGTTAAATCAAACCATCTGGGGGTTCCAAGAATAGGGCACCTGTCAACGGAAAGCATATAATCTCAGAGATTTGTGCAAAATAAAAGCTGTACCCAGTTGGGAATTTGAAAATGGCCTTGAACTCCCAGTTGAAAACACATCGGTTGAGCTTTAATGAAGTCATAAAATTTTGATTTTCACCATTTTTAAACAATCTTTGACAGAATTCCAGGTAAAATAAATATAATACATATGTTTATAATGTGCTTTTGTCTTGATAAATAACAACAAACAAGCTTTTAACACAACTACATGTAATTATATATCACCCCATTCTTATGAAAAACTGTAACAACGGCGTTTTGATAATAATACATAACTCCTATTAAGTAGTGACATAATTAGACTAAATGAAAATATATGTGCTTTAATAACATTAAAAAACTTACCTAAAATACTTCATTTCTACTACTTTACAGTAGAGTTGAAATCCTGTTTTATTTTCCACTTCTCTGTTATGACTAAACTTCTCCAATATGACCAATATGAAAAACACTTAAAAACTCGAGTTTATTTACTGAATGTACTATACTGTGGTTTTCTACCTTTTGAAAACACATAAAAAGTACGATGTCACGTCATACGATATTCAAGACTTCAGAAAAGCTTTTGAAACACATGTCAGATTTTACACAAGGCTTCAAAAGCCTGGTGATTATTTACAAACGAAAAAATCATTCGGTTAAATGTAAAACGATTCATGGGTCAAAAATTTACGCATTGGTACAAATTAAAAATTCTTTAAAAAGATCTCATATTTTAATTGTGCATGAAGTGAAATGAATTTTAATTATGAATGATGTTATCACCATGTGAAATCAAAAAATGCATTTTAAGTAGATATATGGTTTTGTATGCTACGTTTAGACTTTGGAGATGGGGGGATATTAGATTGCACTATATATTACATTGAATCAATATTTTGATGAGACTTAAGGATGTGCTATATGATTTCTCAATGTTCAGTTAACTTAAAGCCCTCTTCAACCATATCAATCAATTAAAACACAATTGTATGTACCTTATTCTACATTGCACCTCAGAGGTAGGCCCATAGCCAGGGGGGTTCAATGGGTTTGAGCGACCCCCCCCCCCCCTGGCCAAAAAATCTTTCAAAATCATGCAGTTTTTCACCATTCTGAGCACTTTTTAAGTGATTTTGGCCATTTTTGGACTAAAATTGTCACAAGTGAAACCCCTGGAATTTTTCAAAAAGTGAACCCCCCTTGGCAAATCCTGGCTATGGGCCTGTCAGAGGATAGTTATAATTTTAACAATGCAAAATTAAAATCCTTAAAAGGGTTGTACTATACTAGACTATACACAATATAAGAATCCTTACTAACTCTAGGTTCAGATAGCATAGTTTTTTGCTCAACTAGTAACCCTGGTCAATTGTCAACCTAATTTGTCTTACATTGAACAATGGCAACATGGGTCAATATATTAACTAGTCTTGACCCAACCCCTTAATATGTAGTCTTTTATATTCTAACTACCATTCTAATACATGCATTATAATTATTTTTCATCTTTAGAAGAGAACTACCAACCTATATAATACGATTTGACCTTCAGTATGTATACAAGAGTACCTTTGTTAATTAAAAAGTGATTTGTTATCATTAAATGTTAAATAATCAAAAACCGCTTACCTTAATTCATACTGTATATTTTATTCCACAATATCTTTATCAAGGAACTGTCTTGCACTTCTAAAATCTTTTTCTCTCTTTAGCCAAACTGTAAATACAAAAGCAAGCAAAGTTGTAAAACTGTTACATAATACACAGCAAATATGTCAAGACAAACATTTGAAAAAAGAAAATATAAAGAAGCCAACATAATTTTTTGAAAGTCTACCAAAATATACAATTCAGGAGCCAAATGTACTTTAAAAGCTTGGAAAGTGAATGTTTGATTTGCATAACTGGTACAAAAGGGTAGCAAAAATGAACAAGAACGGAGGTGCACTTATAATGGAAATATTTTATACCAGTCATATTTTGAAACTTAAATGGAGTCGAAAGGAGTGGAATTAGCAAGAAAATAAATAAACAAATATGAAGTACACACTCTAAATTGTATAGAAATACCCCCAAATTAGGTACTTCTTTCAAATTTTAGAGAGAAACTGAGTGGAATGAGCATGAGCAGACGGACATTTTGAGGAAATGTACCTTGATAAATTCAAATCCAAACATTCTCAATTACTGATACAAAACATCAACATTGTGAACAAGTTCAAAAATAATACTTGAAGGAACTGTTCAGATTTCAAATAATATGAATCAGTCAGCAGTCTTTGGCCAATGGTCAAAATAATAAATCAAATTTCAAATTAGAGTTGCTTTAAGCAAACCCCCCTCCCCTTCCTTACACTCCTTATCTCCACAAATTGGATAAAGGAAGGGGGAGGGGGGGGGGTGGGGCTCATGTGATTAGATGTAAGACCAAGTTCAAATTAAAAATTCCAATAATATTATAATATCATAAAATGCTATGCTGTAATTGGTTAAATCATTGCTGTTACATGGCACCTATCATAATATTCACAGGATGAACTTCATACAATACAATTCATCAAAATGGTAAAGCAAATTATAAACGTTTAGTCCGAGCGTTTAGTATCAGCTATTGAAAATACAGACCTACCTATTCTACAGATCATGATATCCCTCCGGCCAAATATCATTTCAAAGTAACGTTTTTTATTCAGTAACATATTTCAAAATCCTGGATAATAATGTCATAACTTACTATAATATACCATTCAGAGTGGACACTCATATTTTATTGTATTTTATTGAGCCAAGGATTGAATAACTGTACACAAGAGTGGGTTGTTAGGGAAAGGATGTGCCAATCACTATAAAAACATCCCTATATAAAGAAAATAGTGCAAGAACAACATGTCATTAATCATGGTAGTGTAGTGACATAATATAATGATGAAAGAATGACCAAGCAATGAACAAACTAACGAATGAATGGATGGAAGAATGAATTAATTTTTTTTATAGTTTATTGTTATTTATTTCCATATTATTCAACATAATTATTTACATAGATTGTGAGGGGCCGAGGCTATATAGCATTATTGGCCCCCCTCTAGAAAGAGACTAGAAAGAGAAAAACATAAAATAAATCACTGGAGTGTGTAGGATTGCAAAGGACAGACGGTCGTCCACCAGAATTAATGAATTAATGAATCTTGGCTAAAAGAAAAATTCTATGGTTTCATTTTTTTTTTCCTCCACAAACCACAATATCAATCAAATAACATAAGACAGTATCAAATAATACTCCAAAGTATCAAATGATGACCACCGTATCAAATGATGACAAAATATTTTTCAAATGAGGTTTTGGTTTGTCTGATTACAGTGAAACCCATGCCATTTGCGAATGTTATACCTTGTCCCTATAATCTTTTATGAAACAACATACTGTTCTTTTGCATCTCCTGCAACATGCTTGTCCGTCTGCTCATGCTTATTTCACTCAATTCCTCTCTAAAATTTGATTAAAATGTCAGATTTTCTTGCATTTTTATACAATTTAGAGTATTTACTATGTGATTATTTACTTTATTTCTT